TCGCTGGTGATTTCGTAACCTGCAGTGTGTGGTGTGTTACGGTGGATCGCCGTGGCCTCTCCGATCTAAATCAGGGGTTTCCCCCGACTAAATCAGGGATTTCCCCCGATTCAGCATTCAACAGGCTGCATTGGGCTACGTCAATGCAGCCTGTTGAATGTTACAGGTAGCCAATCAGAAAGCGGGATTCTCCTCCTGCTTTCTGAGGGGAAATTACGGAGGGAAATTCGAAACAGCTGACACGGCGCAACCCAAAATCCAGCGGACATTGGAGATGATATGTGGAAACAACATTAATATTTATTCAACATTTCGTGCAAAGAATATAGAAATGACCAGGGGAGAAGTTGGAGCCAAATTGCTACCGCAGTTGATAAACCCGGTAAATTTTCAGCTGTTCTTCGTTAACATGACATAAATAGGTTATAATGATTTTCATTCCGTCAGGACTTTACGCTGATTCTAGCCACATGCATCACAAGTAGATTCTAGTAAAGCAATGATTAATGCCTGATTTTAAAATTAGTTAACTGGACTTGTAGCCATTACTTTGTGCCCATGTTGCTGGACACCACAGGGCACTACGAACCCGATCGAACCATTATACCCAGGATTTCTGTCAGGTTTTGAAAATGGGCCGACAGTCCGCCAACAACTCGTGTAGTGTGAGCTGGACATTACACTAAGGAAATGAGGAAGGGAGGGTCAGTGGAGAGCACTGAAGCTGAGCCTTTTTTCATTCAGTGTCATCAACAGAAAGAGAAAAAGACAGGAAGAGATGATAAAGCCGATAATTAAAATAAGGTCGATAGGTTTAATTTATCGTGTGATTAATTGATTTATCGTTTATCGCGGCAGGCCTAATTTTACCAAATATTTTAAAAGATTAATAAAAGTGAAGTAGTGCAGCTTTAATCTGGATGTTTTTGTCAGAAAAACAAATTTCAAACCACGATAAAAGTGGCTCCCCTGCAGAAACTTTCACTGCTTTGCGCTGAACGTTGTGATTTTCTGTCTTCACTCAGTAGGAATTAAAATAACCTTAAATGAGTAACCTGGGGATATTTAAAGGCCACATCAGGGTTGAAAACATCCATAAGCAGATTGTTCACTTTTGTTCCTTTGTTCACGTTTTCGCTGCAGATGCACTAAATAAAATAAACAACAGATTAGTCCTTGACTTCAGACTTGCTTGCAGGAGCCTGGATATTTTATTCCAAGGACCTTTCGCGCTCGTTTGTCTCCAGTGGTGGGCGGTGTAGGTGGACCACGGTGCGCCTCCTGGCTCCAGCTGCCCACGCTTCATTACTTTCCGTCTGAGCTGTCCGCGCTCTCCGTTTCCTACAGTTTTCCTGGCCAATGCGGCAAACATGGACCGACCAGATGGAGTGCAACGGGCTACCCAAGGTGAAATCACACTCTCGGCTCCGGTTCTCATGAGGGGAATCGCACCTCGGCTGACCCTCTTCATGTACCTTCAACCAAATCTTTGGGTTTTAGACCTTTTCATCACAAACAGCGACTGAGCCAAATATATAAATATTATGCCTTAACTCCTGTAGTGCCAAGAAGAAAGTTTATTTTTCACAGAATGCACTGAGCCTCGTATGGGTTGGCACCAGAACTGAGCCCGGAGCAAAAGCAAATGTCGCCCAGCCAACTGCCGATAAATTTGCATAACGTCGTATTAGGGCTACTGCAGATTTTTTAAAAGGGTAAATTTCTGTGAAAAAAACATAAAATTTAGTCTAGGATTCTTTCTAAAAAAAAAAAAACAAGGAAATTTCTGAGTTTCAAAAGTTGAAAATTTCCTAAAAAAAAACAAAAAAAAAAAAAAAACTCCACAACTTTGAGATGAATCTCAGAAATCTTATAGAAAAAACAAAGTTTAAAAAATTTCAACTTCAAACTCAGAAATGTCCACATTTTTTCAAGATAATTTCTGAGACTAATCTGAAAATTTAAAAGTTTTTCGAGCAAATTTTAGACTTTTCAAAATGTCCACACACACTTTCTAGAAAAGTGTACTCAAAATTTGAGATTTTTGAGTACATGCTGAGTTTTAAAAGCAAATTTTAGACTTTTGAAACTCAGAAATTTCCACTTTTTCTCAAGAAAATTTCTGAAACTAGTCTGAAAATGTTAGTTTTTAGCAAATTATCAGAAATTTTCTTGTTTTGCTTAAAATGTCATTGTTTTTCATAAATCAAAATTTCTGCATTTTTTGTGGAAATTTACTCCTCCTTGGTCCTTTTACGTCGTCATAAATTTGTACCTAACCATGACAGACTCAAAAACGTAGCTGGCCTGTTAGCAATGGTATTAGATTTCTGCCACAACTCAAACTTTTACATGAGAGAAAATTTAAGACCTAAAAACATTCTGGCTGATATTTATAATATTTAGTCTATTGAGGATTTTTAATGTAATTTGAAGGCATCTGTAGAGAATCAGTGCTTACCCAGGATGGCGTAGTAGAAGGGGAACTGGGCAGGGTCAGTTGAGTACTGTGGGAAGGCGAAGAGACCGCCAGGTAGGAAGTTCCACAGCAGGTGATTTCTGGACACGTGAGACTCCACTCTGTCCTGAATGATCTGGAGGAGGGAGGAGACGAGAAAACACAAGAAACAGAAAAAAAAAAAAAAAATAAATCCCCAAAAATAAACAAAAATTAATTTGGGATAGAAACAAACAAAACCCACAAAAGTCAGATTATTGGAGCTAAAAGGAATCACAAAATCTTACAAAGTATTTTGATCTCATTTTAAGTGCAAATGTCTTCACACACTTAAAATAAGACAAAAGTAAATAAGTAACTTTTCAACAAGATATTGAAGCCTGTTTTAAGTCAATAATTCCTAAATATTGGTGGAAGAGTTCTAGTTCCACTGGCGCCGTTACCTAGCAACGCCAGCCAAGCCCAGCCCATCGCCTAGCAACGCCAGCCAAGCCCGTCACCTAGCAACCCAGTTCTAGTTCCACCAGCAGATTTTTTTTGATCACTTGACTCGTGATGCAAAAAGGTGTTTCCATTGCAGTTTTGTGAAATTTGCCAATAATTCAGCCAGAGAAGAAAAAAAAATCACCTCCTTGTAATGCAAAAACTCTTTATAACAAAATGTGAGTTTTTATTAAATTGCTGTGTTTCCAGTAAGCAAATTTATTTTCATAATTTCAGTTTGTGCAATTATACAGTCTTTATCTCACAGTAACTACATGGTGGCACCTAAATTTATTTAACCCCTATTTGCTGATTAAGTTTACTGACAAAATTTTTAATTAAAATGTCTTTGGTCAGAGGCTTCTATAAATTTGCTGTAATACTGACAGCTACAGGAGCGCTACTATAACTCTTTGAAGAACTTTGAATTAATTAATTACAACATTTAATTTTCCTTTGGGGTCAATAAAGAATTTTTAAATGTTTTCAAAAACAAATGACTTAAGAACTATTTAAATAGTTAAATGAAGCTGATAATGCATAATATTTTTAAGCTTGACTCCACCTTTCTGTGCAGAGCTCTCTCTAGAAAACACACACACACACACACACACACACACACACACACACACACACACGCTGTTTGAGTGCCAGGTTTGCTGCATGTGGGACACCACAGTTATCAACAACGCTTCATTACTCCCGTTTAGCTCGGTGCCACGCAGCTCTGGGCTTCTTAGCACATCTGGCCGGCAGCACACGACTGTCAGCGGACATCTGTCTAATTTCATCCTCTGCTAGATCCGGGCATTTGGTGAAGTCACCAAGGTCTCTGTTTGTGCAACAGAAAATCTGCCGCCTCAGAATCGCCTTATTAATCTGTGTGCATGATAACCTCTGCTGTTTGAACAGGTAAAACGCTTTAAACAGCAGATCGATTGTCCCTTTTTTTGTTTTATCTAGTTAGTGGCTCTGACTGATGGAATACAACAAAAACTCGTTATTATGAGAAAGTTTTAACAGGAACATTTCTTATTGCAAGAAAATTTCTTATTACTACCAGATTTTGCTCCTGAATGTATTTCTAAGCACTGACCGTCGAATATTATCTGTTAAATTCCACATTGCAAATACATGAAATCACAATAACTGCAAATTGCCTTTGTGTTTCTAGAATGTATTAGTACAATTTTTGCATTTAAAAATTAGAATTTTAAACTTAGAAACTTTAACAATTATGACCTTTTTTTAGCCATAATCCTGGAAGTGACTGATAAAATAAAAATCTGGTACAGCATGCAGCAGTGATCATCTCTGTCTTTCTGTTTCCATGAAGCCTGTGTGTAACAGAGAGGATTATTATTTAATGTGATCTGAGATCCAAACGGTCCCTGTGGACTCGAGTGAAGCAGCGATGGAGAAACTAAGAACAGAAAGAGACGAAAGCTTCCAGAACCTCCCAACGAGGCGAGTTCATTTTGTTCACTTCAGATGGTTAGATCATTCAATGAGGCGTCTAGTGGCTCTTCAGCCTCAGGAGGAGCATTTGGCTCTCTGACACACACACACACACACACACACACACACACACACACACACACACACACACACACACACACCAGCTTCTTGAATATCCAGAATCTCCGTCATTTCAGGATCTTCACATCTTGTGTTTGGATCTCAGGCTGATTTCCTGTCCACATGCTGAAGGTGGAAATTATCTTGGCTCGTTAAGTTATTTATTCATTAGCATGCATGAATTTTATGAATTATGTCGTCTCAGGTATCACATCGAAACTGACCCAAAGTTATTTGAACTGAACTGATACTAAATTAATAACAAATAGACATCTAAGGGTGTCTGTAGCTTTACAGTTATTATCCTGCAGCTTTCTGGCAGAAATGAGGTTCCACCAAGTCAATTTGTTGGCCATATTTCTATAGTTGATCAGCTCTGACATCACAATTTCACAAAAACAAAACAGCCTCAGTCTTTCCTTATGAAACAGGGGAAAACATCAAAGTAAACTGACTAATCTTATCTAGAGTTAGAACTCACTAAAGCTGCAGTTTGTAACTTTTATTTAATAAAAAAGTTTTTTTTACATATTTGTTAAAACTGTCAACATGTGGTGACAGTTTGATATGAGATAGATAATCTGCGAAAAGATTCATCTGGTTGTTTTTGGTCAAAGTATTTCTTCAGTTAGAACCAGGAGGAGGGGCTTAGCGCTGTCAATCAACACTGTGAATGCGCAACTCGATGTGCTAATGGAGGATAAACAAGTTACATTACAGAAAAACTGTTTACCCAGGCTATGCTAGCTGTAGCGTAGCAGAAAGAAAGAGGGGCAGGGAGTGAGCAGATCTACATAGCTGTTGATTGACAGCACTAAGACCCGCCTCCTGGCTTTGATCGGTTGTTTCCATTTAGCATTCGGAGAAGATTTTTTCACAGATTACCTGACTCAACCCGTACTGTCACAACCTGGTGACAGTTTCAATCAATATGTAGATTTTTTTTTTTATATAAACATTATGTTCTGCAGCTTTAAGTACATTTTTACTATTCTTTGAAATAATTAGTTCAGGTCTGCTGACCTGGTAGAGATTAGTTCAGGTAGCTACGTCTGCTGGAAATGTGTAAATATGTATTAAAAGTTTACAATTTTAAAACTATTTAATTCTGAGACCTTTGAGAGCCGGATGAAAATGTTCCAAGATTTTTACCTGAACACTGTTTTATTTTACCTAAAGATGTAAACAAATAGTCAAATCAAAGCTGTAGAGCTGATCTTGGTTTTGTGTGATTATGAACTCTCATAAAATTATACATTCAGTATTTGCTTTCTCCAGGCAGCTGAAACATTTTGACAAACAGAACGGCAACGTGTTCAGCAGCAGAAGATAAGCAGGAGAAAACTGCAGAGCTTTTAGCAGAACACTTTAAAAACCAGGATGTTCAGATAAAACATGCAATTTTAAAGCTCAAGGTTTGACATTTAACTGTGTGCAGAAGTGATGCGACAGCCTCATGACAACATGCACGTTCATTTAGATAACTTATTTGTTTTGGCAGCGGCAGCCATAAACGCGCATATCTTACTCAGGTCCAGGCAGAAATAACGAATACTGTGTGAATTTTTAACCTTTATGACTGAAAAACTAATAATTGCAGCTGAGAACACTGCAAAAACACAAAATTTAACCGAGTAATTTTGGTTTTACAGTGCAAATATCTTAGTACACTTAAAATAGAACAAAACTAACTTACAAGCAACATTTCAACAAGCTGTAGGAGCTTAAAGTCAATAAGTTCTAGTGTTGTTGGCAGATAATTTTACTTGTAACAAAACGTTTTTCTCATGTTATAAGTGAAATAATCTGCCTATGAATTTAGCACTTCTAATTCAATATTGGGGAATTATTGATTTAAAATAAGCTCTTATATTTTGCTGGAAAGACACGTGTAAGTTAGTTCTGTGAAATAGAAACCAAACCAAAAATACTTGCCAATATTTTGTGTTTTTGCAGTGAATCTGTACAACCTCTGTTTAATAAAGGAAGGTAAAAATAAAAACCCACACAATTAGTAGCAATGGGTTTCTGCAGAACATTGACTGGATCATCTGTAGAGAAATCTGACGGGATGTGAAGTCAGGACTTGTTGGATTGTGATGTGATGTAATAATCATATATGCATCCAAATTAATTCCACATATTGGAGAGGCACAGATCTGATTTTTTTGGGGTGGTTAAAGGTCAGAGTTGGGATGGAAAAAAGCTGGAAAAAACAGATTTGAGTCACATTTGCTTGCAATTAGTTCACTTATTAGTTCCCTTACGCTTATGTCATCGACATAAGCGTTTCATATTGTTGATATTGATTCGTTTTTCTTTTTGCTTTAAATATCCGAAATGCAGCCAAACTGGTGGAGAGACATTTCCTGTTTCATCCACAGGTGGATGAAACAGGAAATGCTGCTTTTTATTTTAAAGCCGTTATGAGGCACAGTGGAGAAACCTGAAACTGCTGCTGAGTAAGTTACTCAAAAGGTTGTTGCTAGGTAACCAAAGAATGAGAGTGTTGCTAGGTAACCAAAGAATGAGAGTGTTGCTAGGTAACCAAAGAATGAGAGAGTTACTAGGAAACCAAAGAATGAGAGAGTTGCTAGGTAACCAAAGAATGAGAGAGTGAGTTGATTCCACCATGTTAGCTTAGCGAGCCATGAGAGTTTGAGATCTAAAACTTTCCTCAGATATGTTATCGATATTGATTACATCTAAAGTGATAAATATTGTTATTGATTTAATGTCCAGGCCTAAGATGAACCTGTTTGAACAAATGTATTATAAATCTAAACGCACAAAGCAAACCTACTGGATGAATTTCATGTTCTCTCATCATCATTAATGCTTCCAACCCAACAGATCTTGAACAAGACAAATATTCTCCAGTTGTTTCTGCAGATCAGAGCAACTTCAGTTTGCGAATATACAATCATCCTTTGGATAAAAACATAACTGTCATCTGGAGAAAGAAACTCTTGAGGCTTAACTTTCCAAGGTGATGCACAGCCGGGGGCAATGTACAGCACAGAACAAGATGTTTCAGTTTAGCTGATTATAGATGAAGCGCTTCTGACAACCCAAATCCACAAACTCTCATCTAAGACCATTTTCTGCAAGCTTACCTCCAGAGTGGTTAAGACTATTTTGGCTACAGAGGAGAAGTAGGCGTCCCAGAGGAACTGAGTCTGCTGGCGGAGCGCCAGGATCCTGTCACGGCCCACGGATCGGGTAATGGAGGGAACCTGGAGCGAGAGCAGAGGAGGGCTGTTCACATGACAGTGGGATAGATTAAGTTAGATTTTAAACAACGTTGAGTGAACAGTAAGAATCAAAGGGGGGTAAAAAAGTGAGTAGACAGGTAGACAGGTGGAGGAAGCTTAGGTAATTTAGTGGAAAGCAGAAGAGATTAAAGAAAATTTCCCCCTCAGGATTGTCCCACCTCTAATTCCATCTTCTGTCCATCATTCAGGATTTTGGATTCACATTACAGTGAATAGAGACGAGTCCATGCAAGGAGAGTTCACTACAGGTTCGCTTCAGGAAGGAGGTTCTCAAAACTACTTGTTCAATCTTCACATCATTGTGTCACATCCAAGAAGGATTTTATAATTCCTTTGAGCAAGTAGAAAATGCTTTTGATTACGTGAATATGTACAATATTTAATTGCTGACATCATGTTAATCAAAATGTGTTCCATGAGTCTCTAACTGCATTTCCACTGACCACAGAACAGCGCTATTAGAAATTTCGAAAATACATTTGCTTAGTGGAAACAACAATTTTGAAAAAGTATTTGGTCTTTTTTGTCGTATAAAAATTAATTTGTTTTGCAAAATGTCAATGTTAACACTTTTTCTTTCACTACACAAGTCACATAATGTTGCCACTGACAGAAACCACAAAGAAGATGATGACAGGAAGTAGTTAAAGGATGATGGCACGTTTTTAATTACTTATTTATGTGCGATTTTAACTGCATTTTTTATTTAATAGAAACACCGCAACAGAGAAATTGTGTTTTTTTCGACATTAGAGGAACAATAACAAAGGTTTGCACACATTTGTAAATTCAACACTTCTGTTGAATTGTCTCGACCTCCACAGCATTTAAGCATAATTTCACTTAAGTCTTCAAATGCAAAATGTTTGAACAAGTTGTCATAATATGTCGAGCATTTTTCCATACATTTCAGTTAGACTTTGTTCTAAATCTGTCCTGAACTGATAAGTTGTTCCCAGACTTGGAAGCATGATTGACAGCATCAAGACCCGCCTCCTGCCTCTGATTGGTTGATTCTAGTAAGTACTGGGAGAACTGGGAGAAGGCAGAGGAATTAGATTTTTTTCTGTCTCATACCACACTGTCACAACATAGTGACATTTTCAACAAATATGTAAAAAAAATTAATTTTTTATTAAAGTTAAAAACTGCAGCTTTAAAGAGTTGGTCTTATGTTCCAATTTCTACTTTTTCTCATCTGTTTACAATGAAACAAGAACTTGTCATTCTGAGATATTTTACCTTTGAGATATGAACTAAGGATTTTAAGATACAAACTGGTTTTTGAAGGTAATTCTTTGTGTTTTGGTGTTTATAAAAATATTTGAAGATGATTCAAGAAACACACCAAAGCGACTGAGAAAAATCTGCAAATGAAGCGGCACTTATGAGCTCCTCATTTATTGAACTTCTTTTGAAAACCTTCAATTGATATTTGTCAGATGTTCCTGTTGAACAAATTTTTTTATTTTTTTTCCTCTTGTGTCATGCTGTGAAAAGCAGAAGAAAATTTATTTTTCAATCTCCTGGAAAATCAACAGCAGCCTTCAAAGTTGGAAAAGCAACAGGAAAACGCATTAAAAGCAGGAGAAACGAAGGCTTGATCCACTCATCACAAACCATCCTCCTTCTCGCATCTAGTTATCAGAAAAGTAGGAAGGCCTTCTCAGTTTACACATCACATTGTCAAGAAACAAGAAGCAAAATTTCTCTGCAGCAAATTTCAAATCACAACTTTATCCAAGAAGCCATTTTCTTAACACAGTAAAGTCTGCTGTTCCATCTTATTGTTAGATGATTAAACTTTAATGTTGTATTGAGTAAAACTCAGTATGGAGTGAATGTAGCTCACAGTATTGCATCAATATTCATAATTAATGAAGAAAATCATCCTGACTTTTAATTTGACCCTTGACCTTTTGTACTTATGTACAACAAATTAGTATTTTTGTTACCACAAATTAAGTAGAAATACTTCAATTTAAGAGACCGCATTCAAATACATTTGGTATTTAGTATTAAAATTAATGAATTAGACAAAACTGGGCAAAACTCCAACCATGGCATATTGCTTCCACTGTCACAGGATATGTGTAGTATGCGCATCAACAGGCAGTACTGGGATACAGGCGGATGCATGGTGGCACTGCCGACTAAAAATTAAAATGTTTACTGCACTAACCCTAAAGCACTAAATGTAAATATTAGTTCCATTAAAGAACTTCACTAACACAGAAATTAGCAGAAGCTAACACTAAAGCACTAAATTAAATTCTAATTATATCTGACCTTGAGAGACTACAACCCTCATGCACCAATTTAATTTTAATATTAAAATTTAGAAATTCAATAATGTCCTTAGATATTGTTTTTACAGTTTATGTTGTTTCTGTATGTTTCTTGTTTGAAATTAAGTTATTTGGGTAAAAAAGGAGAGAGAATGCAAAGAGAGGAGATGGAACTGCTGCGTAAAAAGTCTTCCGCCGCGTCAAAATAAGAGCATGATATAAACGTCAAACTACTTGAATAATTCTTGATGGTTGGTACCCATTATTCATCTGAACGTTTTCAAAACAGGCAAGTAAATTAGATCTTTAGAATTTATCTGGAAAGCCTAATTTAGGGGAAGCTAAGAGCACTAAATGTTTCAAGATTACCAAAAGCGCTAAAGCTCTAAATTAGCTCCACTATTGGTGCATTAGCAGCAGGAGTGCTAAACAATGTTATTAGCAAATTAACAATCACTAACAAAACTGAAAGTCAATATCTAACAGAAACTGAAATACTAATTATGTAATTTAATTAAAAAACAACAACATAATTTTATTAAAAAGATTACTATGTAGAATGCTTTGAAAGTTTGGGCTCTTAGCCTGCTTTTTCCTTAACTACATCCAATAATCACACTTCTATTTATAATTTAAAGACAAATAAAGGTAAATGTTTACATCAGAATGAGTATAAAGTGTGTGAGGTTTCTGCTGGCGACTCGTCAGCTCTCAGCGGGGCGATATAAACATCACCAATCAAATCAGCTCCATTGTCTTCCCCTCCATTACCTCTAACTGTGTTTATGTTTCTCAGCAGGGGGGTTTTGTGTCTATCTGAATACCTGGGTGTCGGTTTTCCACATGTCTTGTCTCCATGGGGGAGGAAACAGACACACTACATATTAAACAGTCCAATATTTTAGCTCTCAGAGACGTAATTGAAAGTAATGAGATTCAACTCTCTCGGCAGGCGTTGGAGGATTGTAACTTTCATCGACCGTTTGTGACTGCGTTAGCACCTGGAACCATTTACAGACCAAATGACAAAAACCTACCATTTGATTTGTACATTTCACTCCCATATGTTATATATGCTTTTAAAATAAACTTGAAATAAAGGCTGGTTATTCTTAGTGAAAAGCTGCAGGCATCTGCTTAAAAACAGCTAAAAGAAAGTTAATCGATTATGATATGTCACATGATATGTGCTAAAGCTATTTGTTAAACTTCTTCCGTAAACTCACAAACAATTATATGTAACCAATAATAAACAGAGAATTTAATCCTAGATGACCAAGATAATTTCAATATCTTAAAACAGTGTGCTAAACGTTTTCAAAGCTAGCAAAAATACTAAAGGACTAACTGAAAGCTAGTGCTTAGCTCTGCTTATAGCTTATATTGCTGAATATCTGCTTATACTGCTAGCTAGCAATATAAGCTAATAACCAATTAATCAGCTTTTTATGTTTACAAACTTCATGACAACATGTTGACTGATAAAAGTCGTAAAGTTCTAAGCTCAAAAACCCTGTTTTTAATGAATGAGTCTGATTTATAAGGAAAGCAGCCATGTTTTCATGGAGATCAAGCTCCATGAAAACTCAAGTAGATGTTTTCCCACCATAAACATTCAGATGTCGAAATACAAAAGCTACACAGCATTAACATATTAAAGGTGACCAAAGTTTAGAATAGCCTAGGTGTCTTTTCCAGGAATGATTGTACAGCACAAATAGAGGCAAAAGTAAATGACCAAATGCTCTGGAGCTCTGATTGGGTTGCTAGGTGACGGGTGGAACTCTGCTGGGGTTGCTAGGTGATGGGTGGAACTCTGCTGGGGTTGCTAGGAGACGGGTGGAACTCTGCTGAGGTGGCTAGGTCAGGGATAGTGCCTGCTGATTTGTGGCGTTTCTAAAATCAGTAATAAACCAGACACCAAAAATATGATTACTTAAGCGCTTGGGCTGTTTTTAAAAGCAGCTGAGACCCAAATCTAAGTATGAAAACATACCAAATAGGAATTTTGCTTAAATAACAATGCTTTATATATACATACATATATATTTCACCAGTGATACATTTCTAATAATGTGTTTTCTGCCATCTGTTGATCAATAAAATCAAACAATATTTTAAAGTTTCTCCAATTTTTCTATTGCTTGATTAAAAACTTTTACAACACACATGAATGGAGGTTTACATAATTCATAAAAGCTGACAGCCTAACATCTACCTGCAGTATGGAAACTGTATAGAAACATATTTCCTTTTCTGCCACACTGCCAGTACTATCTACTGTCCCCCAGGAATATTTGACAAATGAAAAGTAAAACTAAACCCTCAGGAAGAATTGTAATCTTTTAAGATGCAGAGCTTCTCGGCTGATAGTTACTTAAAAGTTACAAAAAAGTTATCATGACATCTAAAAGAAGACTGAAGATAAGATGGAGTTTGCACCCTGAGGCAGTCTGAAGATGTGTTTTTCAGATTTCTTCTCAGAGTTTTTTCCATAAAGCCTCTGATTGTTTGTAAAAGTGAACTCCTTTCACCAACCGCACACCGTCTCCTGAGAAACCCGATAATACACTAAATGACATGAAGGACGGCGGTGGAGAGATGACGATTCAGGCTTGTTTTTCAGCTCTAAAACTTTCACTATAACCTCTTCTGGTATTTTAGAGTCAAATGTGAGGTCACGTAGAGGTCAATCTGCAGCAGAATGGCTGAAAAAGAAATGGTCCAGTCAAGAAACGATTGCTTGCAATTGTCAATAAACTGAAGCAGTTTTGAAAAAAGAGTGAACATCTTCTAAATAAAGGTCGGAAAATATCATTCACTGAAAGAAAAGTATAGCAGAATATAAAGACCAATGGAGATAAAAGGAAAGAAAATGGCTACGGAGGAATACATTTCTTGCTTAAAAACCAGACATTTTAAGATTAACCTCACATATTTATAAGTAAGAACTTGGATATTCTCTCCAGAAAAGTTATGAATTTGCTAGAAAAAAATTATTTTTAAGGTTGTTGCAAATGTCTAACTTCATTATTTCATTAAATTGAGTTATTTTTTTCATTTATTATTATTCTTTTTGCACATTTATGGCTTATAAATGACAGAAAACATCCATGTCTTCAATAATGGAAAATTAAAGACAAAACGTTAAAAGTATTCTAATATTTTAATGTTTAAATCTGTATTTTATGATCATTGTTTGTTGCTTTTGTATTGATTACAGCATTTTCATATATCTCTAAATGTAAATAAAGTGCGTAATAAATAAAATGAATTATTCTGACACAGGAATGAATAAATAAATTCTTACAATTTCTTTCTTTTTTTCTGGTTTATTATAAAGCACGTTGCACAGAAGCTGCTGAACAACCTGACGATGTTTGATTTATGTTGAATTTATTTATCTGTAACCTGAACAAAGAGCGCACAGCAGTCACATGTTTAATTTCCTTTTATTTGTGAGAATTGGCAAATGTCAGGTTTTGTTTGGAGAAGGTTTCTCCATTTATCTCTGCATCTATATTTTCATTTATTGAAAACTTGACATTTCTGCAGAATATGAATTAATGGAAGAATATGTGTTTTTCCTCAAACTTAATTACAAGTGTGCGTCTTAGTCTGTCAGAACACGCTTAACCAACAATTAGCAAACTCTGCAGAAGGGAATATATAAAAAAATAAAGTATTGGTGTATTAAGGAAGCTTTTATTAATGCCTCATGTCTTAAAAGTCCAGATTTATTATACATACCATGGTATTTTTTTATATCTCATCCCATTTTGGATCTTCTTGTAAGGTGTTGATTGAAGACAGGAAGCAGAGACCCTCTAATTAAAAGGCAGACACTTTTAGTTTGAAATTCCCAAAATACAAACAAGCACATGTCTGTTTGGCCGTCCAGATGGTGTGAAAGGTCACCCAGGTGACGCGCAGCGATACGCAGCGTAATTAGAAAATCTAAATATCACTGCAGCTGCCATTAAGGGGAGCAGAAGGTGTTCCATTTGTAGAGAAATGCATCGCTGGTATAAATAGCTCCTGGTGTGAGTGTAAATGATTATACTTGATATGGCACTTGTGATAATAATGTGATTATCACAAGAGCCATATCTAAATAAAATAATGTTTAATAAAGGAGCCCATGAACAGAGGCACATTTAACACACTTATGTCTGGAAAACTTATAGTTCTTAACTGTTAGCTTTGCATTTTTTAGTTTCTACAGTAGTTAAATCCAATAGTTACATAAAAAAACTGATTACACAATTTTTTACTGCTTATAATTTAAATATTGTCACATATTAAATGTACAAGTTAAATTCTAAATACATGAGAAAAAAATTTAAATTTTCTATGACTAAAGACAGATTTGTGATATTAAAACTGTGATATTGTTAGGATATTAGGCTCTTTGGGAGATTGATTTGATTCCAGTTTCACTATTATTCTGTGTTAGTTTGTTATTTTTGATTAGATCAGTCTTGTTCCTGTTCAGCCTTCAGTTCAGTCCTTTCTTTGTGATTCTAGTGTATTATGTTTATTGTCTAGTTATTCTTGTGTTTCCCATGTTTAGTTTTGCTTTAATGTTAAATCCCGTTACTTTCCTGTTGTTCCTGGTTTATGTAATTTTTTTGTTCTCCTCTGGCTCCCTGTGCTCCCATGGTTTATCATCTTAACTTTCCTATTAAATCTTCATCGTCTACTCAACACCTCTGCTGCTCTCTATTTGGATCTTCTTTAGTCAACACAACATGACAGATTTTGTAAATACAAAATCTGAAATTTGAAAGAGAAAACCTCAGAATTTAAATGATCGTGTTAAACATTTGAAATAACCACGGAAAAAAAAGATTTCATTAAAAAAAAAAAAAACTTTAAAAATTTAGCGGATTCCATTTTTCTGAAACCTCTCTAGCGCCCCCTGGCGGCCTCCAGTTTGGAAAGCAATGGAAATCTATTGAACCTTTATAACTACGTCACTTAATCATTTGAAGCCCATGACGGACGTCGAAAGTGAGGCACGGAAATTGTTTAGAAGAAATGAAATACTGAAATTGTTTTTCCAAAGTTGTTTTTGCCAGTTTACTCATGGATTCCATTTGTTAAAGTCGAGCTAATTTGTCTGTGAACGTGACACACCTGGTGGGCTCATGAACTGTATTTACAAAAGTTGGAAACAGCTAGCTTAAAAACCGACCCGTTTCTCCTCCCTTCTGATGTGTTGATAAAATTGCCGACTTTGCTGAATTCACAGCACATTATTTATATCACTGTGTCATAAACAGAGTTTCCTCTTAAACCGGAGCAACATTAAAACATACAGAAGACGAGATGCTAACCAGTTTTTTTCCAAACATGCTAGGCTACATGACGGTGCGGCACTGTCTCCATGTTTAGATATTTTATATTTTTCTAATAATACTAACTTATAAAGTATGTGAACGTTAATCTACTTACCTTATAAAAAGTGTTCGCTGCAAATCCGCGATTAAACCGAGGGCTGACAGTCATTATGACTAGAAGCTGCTATTCATCGCTGCCGTTTCTTTCCTCATTAAGTTACACAATAAAACGACAAGTTTGCCATCTACCTTTGTCTGTTTGTGTAGCTGACCGCTCAGTATCCTGTGACCATTTTGAAAGTGAAATCAACTCAATTATATGAATGATTTTAGGCTACCGGCTGCTGCTGCTGCTTCTTCTTCTGGATATTTTTTGACGGTTGGCAAGAAACTTTAGGTTAGCATTATCGCCACCAACTGGTAAGGAGTGTGGACGACATGACAAACAACAACAACAACAAAAACCCTATATCCTATACCAGAGGTTCCCAAACTGTGGGGCGCGCCCCCTATAGGGGGGGGGGGCGCCGTGTCATTGCAGGGGGGGCGCGGGAAGCAGTCTGGATGAAAAAAAAAACAAAACATGAACACTGTATGCGCTGGGTTTTTACCTTAGAATGGTCAACTCTCTGTTATTCCTATGTCAATTTGATACAGTACAGGCTTCCACACTTCCCATATCTTTGTCCTCTGTCACTTTTATCAGCAGTTAAAACTGTTTAATCCGTTGTTAACATGATATAACCTGTTTTTTCGAGCCGCCTTTAAACGCAACATGAGCGCTACGCTGGGTTTCCACCTGTGAAGGAGACCTGCTGCTGCTGGGCGGAGCTACGTAGGTTTGTGTTAGAATCACGGCAGCAAACCAGCAAAACGCAAAGAACTTTTCACAGTTTTTCCCTCCAAACTAACCGACTGAGTTGAGTGAAGCTGTTGGATGCAGGTAATGTTAGCTAAAAGATGACTAGTTAACATCAATACAGAACCTTAAGCTTAACAAGTACCATGTAGGCTACCGATGTTGGTGTCTTTTTTCAGCTGTGATGTTGTTTGTATTGTTTGTATTTCTTCACACTGACTTCCCCCGTTTGTTGGAGTAATTTGAACATATTCTTCTCTCACCTCTATATTTAAGGATCCTCTAGTTTTAATATCTTCTTCTTGTGCACTTTTTATCTCTTTTTATGCTATTACAGCCAAGCATTTCCCCATCATCTCTGTTTCCAGTGTTTTACCTGTAGCAGCAGTCTCTCATCTCCGATAATGGCGGCTTTCCTCCAGTCGATGACTTCGGAGAACGGCGGCTCCCAGCCGTTACTCAGAATAACCGGGATGCAGGCCGCCTGCAAAAACCAGCAACACAAACAGGAACGTCCTAATAAGACTGGAAATCACATATTTGAAATAAATGGCTCATTATACTGAGAAATATTTCTGACATTTGAGCTAAAGGAAAACAAAAACCGTCTCTGCATTCAGGCTGTGCTTATTAAGCACATTGGCTGAGGAGAAGTAATGAATTCTTCCTTCAAAGGATCGTTTTTTTGTCGTTAAGGAAAGAAATACAGAGAGGAGATGATTTTATTTTAAAACTTGACATAATTTCACAGCAGAGGGAAGGAAACGAGTTTCCGTGACACATAAAAGTCCTAGCAGCTGACTTTTATGTGGGGAGGGATCGGCTTTTAGTGTTTTTCTTTCCTTCACTGAGGGCTTTTTTTATCCTCTTTGATTGCTTTCTTCTGATGAGACAATTTGAATGCATTTCAAAAAGTTTCCCTCAAACAAATGGAGTTGCCAGGAAGATTAAAGACAAAATGAATTGCGTTTATTTATTTTCCAGTAAGCCCCCGATATTAGAAAGAGTCATTTTGCGGGGCTTAATTCATTAGCAGCAGGTTTCATCGCTCTCTGAGCTGCTGAGTGTTACATTTATTTTACAAAGAGATTCTTAAAAGTCTGTTGCTAATGAAGAAAAGATTGGTCTATTTATAGCCCAGTTAAACTGTGTTTAAATGGATTCTTGATCCATTTTTGTATATGTATATATATATTTTTTAAATATTCAGTGCCTCATCTGAAAGAATCTTGCTAATTTTCAGCTAAAATGTTAAGACAGGGAATAAATTAACAGCCACAGAGCTCACTTCTAATTATAAGTGTTAGTTTTATCAGGAATACTTTGAAGTTATCACTTATTAGTGCAACTGATATTAATAAATGAAATTACATTAATAATGGAAAGAAGGTTTGAGGTTGTTTTAGGTTTTTGTTTTTTAAGTTTATTT